CGTGCGGGGACCGCTAACCGCGGCTGTCACACGTCAACCTCTGCCGCCGCCTGCGTACTACTGCGCCGCCCGGTTACGGTCCAATGACGTCAATCTGCCTGGGAAATTAAATTCCCCACCTCCACAATCGGCCCCCACGAACTGTCCACGGCACACACAGGAGACCTGAGAGTAGAAATGGGAGGCAGGAATATTTCATTGCCATGCATGTGTGACCTACCCTTGTGCGCCACAGAATGGATACCGGACCCGGACACCTGAAATGTTAGCCCGCCAAACAATACGTACTGTAAACCCAGGTCGGAGGTCAGCCAGCAGGGACTTTGGCCCAAGTTGAGTCATTCATTCCCCCGTGTCACGGTACGGTTGCGACACTTCTAAAAGCAACAGATATATTTCAGACTTCACGTTGTATCGCCTTACGACGTTTCCCCTGCGCGATGTACAACTCCGTGTACAGGTGTTTGCGTTACAGGTAGATAAACTCCGCTGATGTAACTACCGTAGCTAAGCCCGTGCCGTTAGTATGGCGTGTCGACCCGGTTTTGTTTTGCCTGCCACGATAAGGGTTTGCAAAACACCAACACACAGCGGCTAGCGGCGCCAACTATGTACCCCTCCACAGGGACTCAACATTTACCTTTACAGAAACGAGACGGAATGTTTTGAATCGCCTGGAAAAACAAGAGAGGGATAAACCACAAAACCCCACTGTGTACTTAATAACAATTGCACCCGTTAAACAAGCTGGATCGCACGGGCATGAAAAATAGCGGTACAGAGAGGAACAGACATACGAGCGCCCGAGTTTCACTAAAGGGTTGGCAGCGCGTGAAAACATTACAATCAAAAGAAAAGCAGAAGAGAGGCGGGTAAATATAAGGCACAGACGTACCGTTGGTAGTTCTGTGTACGTCACCGAGTATCAGCGACAGAGAAGCGGCAATTTTCTACAACGTTCAGTGGTTATCCTCTCACGAGTAGGGGCAGCGTACTGACCCAGGGACACACACACAGGTGGCGACATTCACACACACATACCGACGTGCCCGGCCCACCAGGTAAGACCTCCGTTCTGTAATACCCCGCAGTTGACTCCAAGGCAAATAGAGTCCTAGGAAGTCCATATATTAACAACTCAACACAATGGCATGTGTACAATCCCTTCCATTAAGTCACGGTTCCCAGAAGGGAACAGGTACATACGTACAGGTGGATTTCCGGCGCCGAGTGATGAATCGCTGTTACCCGATAAGATGACAAATTGTCCGATAGGAACCGGCGAAAGATGCCGTGCGATTCGCCGATATAATTTGCACGGCGACTTGGTCCTTTTGAATTGGACGTCTTCCTTACGTGACGTCAATATTGCCCCGCACAGGAAATACAGATCCCCAGACGCCTCGCACTAACTCCTACTCAAGAATACCGGCTCAAGACCCGATCAACACTCCTTAAGGTACGGACGAAATCTTACACTATCATATTTTTTGTTGATGTAAAACTATTCATCAGTATTGTATTGTGTCGCTGGTTCGTAGCAGGGATTTGGGGCACGTTACAGATGTAGGGAGTGATAAGGCGAGAATGACACTACACAGCCGTTTAAGTTGTTGATCATATCTGGAACAATCAATGGTTTCGTTTTACCCCACTCTTTGATTAACTGTTTAAAAGGGGAAGATCTGAATTCAAACTTTGTCTCCCGGGGAACCATCATAACTACTAGCTGTGGGGAGGGTTGCAAAGGTCTCGCGTTATTTACTGAAGTCATTTTCGCGTTCACAGACTCGCTAATGTCAAAGTGTTGTACGTAACATCTGACTCACTGCATTCCATCCGCCATTGCGGTTTGCATATGTGTGGCTTACATCGATATTCCCTCAAATATCCTCGCAAATGTCAGCAACTCAATTTCAGTGTTTGACGTCAGGGTTTTCTGTCCTTGGCCTTGCGCCCAAGCGTAGGTTCACTGAGCGCTCCTTGTCACTGCCCAACCCACAGATCCTATATATATAAAGTACTGGACTCTAATCTCCAAGCAGATATTGGGAGGACTTGGAAATGCTCAACGTAAGCATGTTACCATTAGGCAGTAATACACCTGTGTGAACATGTACCATTAGAAAGTACGTAATGCCACAGTATGAACGAATACCATTAAGCAGTACCACGCTTTTGTGAGCATGTACCATTAGGCAGTACCACGCTTTATATACCATTAGGCAGTACTACAACAGTATGAACATGTACCATTAGACACTACTGGTAATACTACTCAGTATGAACATGTACCATTAGACAGCACTACCACAGTATGAACATGTACCATTAGGAAATACCAGGACAATTCCATTATCGTGCAGAAGCACCCGGATTGCACCACAAAAGATTTCCACGTGCCGGAATTGAATCGCTTCTTTCTTACCTGTCAAACTTGAATGTTGGCTTCCATCGAAACATGACACCTACATCAGATATTGTATAGACAGGTGTATAATACGCTCATGTATCGGACACTACGTCATGGCTGTGTGAATAGATGGAGTAGGACGCGAGACTGGCGTGCCAACTTGCTAGTCGTGTTGACATCAGGGGGAAATTTGTTATGTGTGAGGGACAGATTGACGATATCCAGTCACCCCAGTGCACATTTAATGTAGGATGGTGGTTAGGAGCCGTCATTCTTTTTGCTGCAGAATTTCTTTTTGTGCGCTAGGCGTACGTAGAGTTCTACTAGTATTCTGTACCCCCCCCCCGCCCACACCCACCCACCCACTCACACAGCGCAACAAAGATGGCAATGCTCCTCATGACTTCTGCTTTGAAATTACGACTATACTCCAAGCAGATAGTGGGAGGGACGACTGAAACGGTTTCTAACTGCCATTTGTCAGCTTTCTGAGGTCTCACCTGAGCAGATCTCAGGAGAAGTATGACAATTATTTTTTCACACGCAAAGAAAGAATTAATACGTCACGGTATTACCCCCAAACACCCGCTAAGATCTTACAGACAAAAAGAATGAAGGCTAGCTATTTGCCTACAGTATCTACTTGATGATAAATGATCGGTGCTGTCACTGCCCTAATACCCTCTATACAACTGATGACCCCACAGTACAGTAAGTGCCCCTCCTCCCAAACAAACGAGGTCCATGTTACCTCACAAACCGGGTCAATAAATACCCAACCCCAACAACAGGACAAAAGAAACCTCAACACGGCACGATAAGACTGAAAGATAAGGTACAATGTGTTCTTTTTAGAGCCTCGCGTGCCCCTCGAGTTGTGACAACTGGGCGCATGGGAGTTGGTCAGTGTTCGTTTACGGGAGAAATCAGATCTGTTACGTTTGCTCATAAGTCACGCGTAGCGTGTCGACCATGCATCGTACTGTCGATTTGCTATGACATTGTCTCGAGCTACCGTTGGCACTTTCGTCCTTGGCGACGTACAAACATATTTTCGTCATGTGCGAACAAACTGTTCTCTATAGCGGACCAACTCTCCTGGCTTGTTTATCTCTCTAGTTGGCCAATTTCTACCCTTTCCAACCGCCTCCCGAAGCCTGGTAGGGAGGGGCTAACAAGAAAGTATCAAATGGCATGGCAGTATCTACCACGGCGCCATGGCTGGCGAAAAAAATATACCAGTACAAAATAGAAGGCCAGATAAAAAGGATTCAGAAACAATCGGAAGCCCCAACCTCTGCTTGGAGAGTATCATATCAACCATTTTACGACCACAGCAGGCTCGCAATGATTTTAAACAATGACTCATCACTTCCACACTACAAATACAGTTCTCTCGAGTCTACAGACGCAATTCAATTATAAAGGTCGGCTGCTACAGAGAAAGTCGTCCTTTAATAGAATTATGTTTTAATTGTTGCTACGGTTAGTCTAGGGTAATGTAATTGCTGCGTATCTATCCCGATAATTGCATGTGAGCAATAATGACGACGCGAGGTAAACTATTATAGAGTTGGTAGAATAGGACGACAACGATAGATAGATAAGGAAATATGTTATATGAAGAAAGAAACAGGAAGAGACAGAACGAAAGAAATGCTGAGCGTTTTTGACGTTTTGAGATTTTGCCAACAAATAGAAGAACAGTGAAACATATCCCGTGTGCTAGGAAAAGTATATTAGAGAACGCTCAATGTCATTTGTAGACCACAAAAGACTAAACAACAAAAAAAGGTCTTTGACAAAAGAACTTGATGTATAATGTTGAACTGACTTCCGCTCCCTCCCATGTAGATAAAAATACGACAGTCTAATGTACGTACTGCCTGGGGTCAGGAGGAATCTTCAAAGTCTGCTGAATGAGTGCATGTGGTTTCCGGGGGAATATAGATGGCACTTAGTGATGCTGCATTCCCGCTTTAATGTCTGGAGACGGGCGCTTTGGGGCTGATTACAGGATAATGGTTAGTTTGGCTCTGAGCGGCCCGATCAGGTTACATGTGCTCAGGTGCGCACAGGTAGCGGCAGTGTTACTGGTGTCCAAACGTATTTTGATGATTTTCGGGGTAGCGATCGAGCTATATAGTGCAAAGGAGCCCCGTTACAAATCGGATTGCACCAAGGCTACCATTTCAGCTCCACAGAGGACGAGAGAGACTAAAGTAGGTTTGGACACCAGGGTAGTGAAGTCAGCCCTGATTAGCTATATATATAGAGGAAAACCGATCTGATACATGTCACTGCAAGGCATTTTATGATATACTCCTTTTCACGGTCGTGATTGTTTTGGTCTTCTACATCTAGTAGTGAGATTGACATGTCACGCAAGTTAATATTTCTGCCGTTTCATAGATGCAAGCAAAAAGAAGCCAGTTTGATTGTATGTGCATGATAATGATGTCAAAAACGGTGTCTCAGACATTGAACTACTCTAGCAAATCGTAGTACATGTGGCTGGATTAGATATAATATCCGTTGGTTTCATATGTATACACATGTAGTTAGAGCAACTCGGTGACAGGAATCTAGGACACGGGCTTGATAATTGACATTTACACTGAACAGACATGTCTTGATGGACATGGTTTGTACAGACTAACGTCAACATGTCTGTTTTTATCTCAACAATCTGGGTCACTATCAACTAAATGTAGTTTGTAAAGATTTGTTTACTTCGGTCTCATGTCACCTGTGGCACCACATCATCTTTCATGGCCATCCTGTTTCAGCTTCTGTACGTTCTGAAAACTCAGTGTACGTGTATCAGTTAGTATACAGGATACCCATACTTCTGCCAGTGATGATATCACTGTTCACTAACGCATTGGTTGACCTTTACATGCATGTATTTGGACTTCCCCCGCATTCCCGCGCCAGTGATGTCACAGGTCACACACTAGATAATAGACGATTAATAGTCCGACGATAACATCATAATTACGCCCTGGAGATACAAGTACTAAACGTGTTGAGCAATGCGGTCATCGGACATGTTTGTTGTCTTGTTGGAGTTCACGTTTTCATAAGCTGACACTTCATATTAAACCGCGCTTCAGTATGTCAGTCACCAACACAGCCATGCTTCTGCTCGGAGTCTGTAGTCTCCTGGGCCGTGCCAGTGAACACAGGTACACCGTTTCCGTGCCTGAAAATACCAAGCCAGGGACAGACGTTGTCAGTTTGCCGAGTTTTCTGGGGACAGAAAAAGCGGAACTTCCGTGTGTGATGGTGGAGGGAGATCCGCACGGCCGCTTCGAGGTGAGTACGAACTGCACCATCGTGGTCGCCAGGCCACTAGACTGGTCAGTACAATCAGAGTATCTACTCAAGATTCGTGTGGGACAGCTTCAAGACACAAGTCACCGTACGGGTGTCGTCAGCCTTCAAATAATCGTGACTAGCGTCCCGGGCTATCCACCTGTGTACAACGAGACGTGTGAACCACCGGTTAGACATTCGGGGGATTCCGATGAATTTCTGTTTAGTTTGGGGTGGAGTGCCCAACTGGAGACGACTGGCGGGGATGTTCTTTTCGCCGAGACGGTCGTTGCAAAACCTCGAGAGAGATGGGACATGAACGACCCTAGTTTTGCAGTCGTCATAGGCAGCAACTGTGATGTTCACATAGTCGTGGACGTTCATAATATAGGTGACATGGCAGTCGCAACAGAATGGTGGGTGGCGGTAGATCAGGGTCATCACTCTGAGCGTAACAGCAAGATTTTACTGTCATGTTACTCAGAGTCCGTACTATCCGAGCTCTTCCTTGAACTGTTCCATCTTGGGTCCAAAGATAACGTACATTACCTAAGACAATACGTACCACAGGTCATGGCGAAAGTTAAGAGAACGCGTCACAAGTTGATGTACTTACTGTCCTCTACATTTCAAACCAAGACAACTCATTACAACTGCAAATCTTCACCCTTACGACGTCCCGTCAGATTCTCTTCTAAACTGCCCGGCATCAGAAATTTCGGTTCGGTAACTGTAGATATGCGTCCAATCGGCTGCCCTCCAGGTAAATATGGATTCTTTTGTGACAAGACCTGCATCTGTGAGAATGGCGCCCGTTGCCATGGTTTCAATGGTGCCTGCAAATGTACACCCGGGTGGCAAGGTGTGGCCTGTGACATCCCAAAGCCTGGTGTTTCGGCAACAACGACACCCAGCGACTCTTCGGATATCTACATCTCCGCTAACGTCACCATTCATTGCAATGTCCATCACCTCAGTGTCACAACGTTATCGCTACGACTTCCCGATGGATCTGAGATTGTAAGCAATGGTGCTAATCACCTAGACAAAACTGTCACCAACATAGGATCTGAAGACAAGGGTCCCTATACCTGCCTAGTTCGGGACACCGGTGGAAACGTTTTCAATGTAACAATTGTACTTGACATCGCCAACTGCCCACCTAATCGGAAAGGAGAGTTCTGTGATGAGACGTGTGCCTGTCTCCGTGGCGCCAGCTGTGACTGGAGGTCCGGCTGCGTCTGTCCCCCGGGATGGACAGGAGACAGGTGTCAGACCACATGTCCGAACGGCACGTACGGCGAGCGGTGCCGACAGAAGTGTCGCTGCCGAAACGGGGCTAGCTGCCGCCCTAGCGACGGCGGGTGTACCTGCACTGCTGGCTGGTACGGGTCGTTTTGTGACGTGCGCTGCCCCAGACACAGACACGGCTTCAGGTGCCAGGAGGTCTGTACCTGTAAGAACAACGCCACCTGCGACAACGTCGACGGCAGCTGCACCTGTTTAGCGCCCTGGAAAGGAAATGACTGCGACGAATTCGAAATTCAAGCAGTTGAATCAAAATCATTGGTTGAAATCCTTGTACCTTTAGGCTCTGTAATTGCCCTGGTCGTTTGTGTGGCGATCGTAGTTTACAAAAAGCGCCCCCTGTGTGGCGAAACCGCCGCTGCAGACGGGGAGGCCGAAGCTCTCCTGGAGTTAGAGCAGGTACAGACTGACCTGGCACAGACCGTCCAACCGGGCTGGCTCAGACGCTGGGAGACGAGCAGCCGACATCTGACACTAGGTCACCTGGTGGGGATGGGGATGTTCGGACACGTCATTCGGGCCAAGCTGAAGACATCTACGGGTGAAATCATCACCATAGCCGCCAAGGCGGTTCGTAGAAAAGACACGCAGTGTTATCGGAACTTCTACAAGGAGGCGGCCATCCTGGTAGCCGTGCACGAGGACGAACAACACGACAACCTTCGCTCCAACATTATCCAATTGTTGGGACTGGTAAACGAAGCCTCGCAGAAATACATCCTCATGGAATACGCTTCGAACGGAAACCTCTTGAGCTTGTTGCGACAGACGCGACGGCAGAACGGGGCCGCCGCCTCTCTCCCTCACCATCTCCGCTACGCCATCCACGTAGCCCGCGCTCTTCAGGAGCTCCAACACCTGGCGATCACTCACTGTGACGTGGCCGCTCGGAACGTCCTCATCACTGCCGACGACGTGGCCAAGTTGGCCGACTTTGGACTTGCGCGAGACGTGTACGCCACCGTGCAGCATGTCACTGACGACGCCCACAGGAGAGAACAACGTGCTAGACGAGATAATCCAGCAGCAGAAGACGAAGTATATATATTGCCGTTAAACTGGATGTCTCCGGAATCTTTGGAGACCGGCGAGTACACCTGTCAGAGCGACGTGTGGTCCTTCGGCGTGCTGCTGTGGGAGATCGCCGCGCAGGGTCGGGAACCGCATTACGACGGTAACAACAACTTGAGCTGCTTCCAACTCTCGCGGACCCTCCGGACGGGAATCCGGCTGAGACGGCCTCCGGAATGTTCCGGAGACATATACGACGTCATGAGCTCGTGTTGGCAGGAGAGGCCGCCAGAAAGACCGGATCCGGATGCGTTGGAGGAGAGACTTCAGCAAGTGCAACTTACGATGATCCCACGCTTACCTTTTGAGATCATCCGGGAAACAGCAGTGTAGGCCGCCCCTGTGGCGTCGCCAAAAATTACGTACCAAATGCCATTCCAGTCACGCAGAGACTTGTACTCGTACATCCGAAATGCGCAGCCGAAATACTAACGTTAAATGTTGATATCCCTTCGGTGTCATAGAAGTATTTCGTTACACAATTTGAGCCTCTACTTAAGTAAGCCACTATGTCAAAGAAACCTGTGACACACGCACACACAAACGCACACACACAAACGCACGAAAACGCACACACGCGCACGCAAACGAACATTTTTCGTGGTAATCAGTCAAAAATCAAGGACTTTGTACACTTGAGACAGTTTCGAGCACAAGCACGTAGCATCAATCATACTTGAATTGACTTCAGAAGGTCGAGACTTTGTACTTTACCTTGACTTGGCTTGAGGTAGTCACCAGGGAAATCCTTCAGCTAGCCCAGTCACTGAGTACCCTACTCTGTCACTGAGGTTTTTCTTGAAAGGTAACCGTGATTAACTGTTCCTGATGAAGTAACGGTCTCAGTTCAGTTTCAACCAATGTTTGTCCGCACAGATCAAAGTAAACAACGTTAAAGCTATAAAAAAGATGAAGACAATGGTGGAACTTCGGGGGTTAGGTGTTAGACTGGGATATAGCAGTCGACGAAGAAAAGTAAATATATAACATGTCTAACTTTATATATGTATATATACCCTGGCGGCCAAAGAGGCCCAACATTTGTGCTAGCTGTACAAAGCTTCCATGCACTTGAATAAATGAAATAAAAAGGTAACACCTTTGCCATCATGACTTTTGATTTGAGCACAATCATATGAAGAAAGGCATCGGTCAAAAGATAAAAATGTCGCACCTTTCGGGAAAAACAGAGTTGACAAAAATTGACTTGCATCATCCCTTATACAGTATCGTAATTGTCCTGTAGTGTCGGTTAAACGTTCGCAACGGTTAATATGGATACAAGAAGATGCCACAAAGACCGACTGACGACTCGATATAATTTAATCCTAGCTGGTCTCAGAGCTGCTCTGATGTTTTTGTGTGGTGAAACAAATTATACATCTCAGATGACGCACGTGTATTCTTGGATTTCCTCTCTAAATCTACGTAGATATTCCGTGCAAGCAGCCCTTAATCCTCAGCCAAAACCCCGCTTTATTGTCAGTCTCCCTCCGTCCTGCCATGTGTAGGTGTTCGGTAATCATCGCCCGTTCCGCGGCTTGGTTCTAGAATTCTATTGACGGATATGTCCGTACCAAGCCTCAGAGGGTTCAGTAAGGCCTAGAGAAAACATGTTGTGTTTCTCGACCGACCCTAGAAAACACTGCCGACCATAGGCCTTTTTGGATGAACCCTGCAAGGGACATGAATTTTTCAAGCTGATCGACCTTTTCTAGCTCCATGATCTGACATTTGAGTAATGACATTGTACAGTTTCCCAACATTGACATTGAAAATATAAGTGTCCCCGTGCGTGCAAGTAGTACTTTGAATCGAACTGCATTGTATAAGTCAGATCACTAGAGATTGACAAAGTCTACTAAAAAAGAAAAGAAGAAGATAATCCCTACCTACCGACCCTATTTTTTCAAGACTGAAACAGGAAACACAACATTTTTTTCCTAGGCCTAATCACTGCGTAGGTTGCATGTATAGTGTGGGCGAAGTGTGCGACATGCCATGTCCCAACTGATACTTTGTTCGTGTGTTGCTTGTTGATTTGAGCGGCTCGGAGTGGGATTTGAGGCTTCATTAAGAAGGGGAAGACGTCACCTTCTGCGTCAGGGAACGCCCTCCGCGGGTTGTCTTCGCACGCGACGTACCTATTCCGTGTTTTCTTTGTGGGCTGTAAACTACGCAGTACTAGTGGCATGGATGTCACTAGCCTCCAACAGGCCTTTCTACGGGAATACGGATCGTAGAATTCGGCAAAAAGGACAGTAACATTGGCCAGGAGAGTCCGGCCGCGGAAGGTTGTTCCTTTCCCTCCGAAGCGCGGCCAGTCAAACCCCAAGGCGGCCAAACTCCCCTGGCAAATATTCTCCTATATAAAGTCACTATAGCATATACATGTAAGCCAGCGTAGTTAGTCTGGCAGAGACTATGATGTCACTGTCACCTAGCCTTTTAGCTTTAGTACGCTCTCTCGATCGCAGGGAAGCTAAAAACAACATCCAGTATACATACGCAGACTGTTTGATAGAGTTGAACTTATGTCGTGACAAACTATGGTAGATGCGTTTCTTTAGTCATTACCTATTCCATGCATCACACTTTCTGTACTGCGATTCAATTATATGCTTACGTTATACGCTGCTGTCACTGGTAACGCAATTACAGAGTTGGCAAGAACTTCGTGCTTCGTCCTCTTGAATGTTTTAGACTGACCTTGTCAGATGCGTTTTAAGTTCAGGATTTCGAACAAAACGGTACTCGCAGTGTCACAGTTTGGGCCCGGTCGCCACATTCGTCGTGCGACCATTGTACGATCGCATCGTACGAATGCATCACTAGGATATCTGTGGCCTGTGCATGCATGTGTCGTATACAAAATTCAGCTCATGTCTTGTTACAGAAAGGGCTGTAGTAGATCCTTGTCGGCGGTTGTTTCAAGTTTGTCACATATCCTGCTTTAAAATTCTACGCCATCAAAATGATATGGCACGACGATTGTGGCCGCACCGTTAGTCTCAAACTCTGTACTCAGTATAGGCCCACACGCGCTTTATATGTAGCCTCTGTAGCAGGCTTATAGAACTGGGGGTTTGGTGGTCTTCGGCTTCTGATTATATAGCCCAGTTCTAACGGGGGTAATTCAACCAGGCCGGCTATGTTGTCTATATGAAATCAGAAAATATATATATATATATTGCACATAAAAGATCTCAAACGACCCTGGAACCGACCCCCCCCCCCGTTTTTGGCATGCTATGGAGGCTATTTTATAATGACAATAATCCCTCATCCCAGCACCTGGCCTGGAGTTGGAGACTACTTGTAAGCTCGTATGTAGACTGACGCCCACTTCGATGTCGTTTGACAGTTTGCAGCCGTGCCGAGCTGAGGCCGACTTGTTGACGGATCCTGTTGGCAGTGTTTGCGCATGTCCATCAAACTTTGGACCCCCAGGGCTGAGTGGCTGTCGGGGTTCACCAACCCTCTCTCTAATCAAGGACATGCGCAAACACTGTGTAAGCTAGCTAACAGATATTACAACGTGGGCGAGGTTCTACCCACGTATCGTGTGGTGGGAGGTATCTTGCGAAAAATCTTCTGGTGAATTATTCCGTTCCAACTTTCTCGAAGAAGACGAGTAGCTTTGAATAATATTGTTGTCACCCCTAGAGTAATTACTCACGTTTTCCTACCTTCAAAGCTTTGCATCCCCCGCAATTCATACCACTAAGTAGGGTTCCAAAATAGAGAAGTAGGAAGACTAGCAAGGTTGCAGTTTTTATTAGCTTACAAGTGCAAACTTACAATTCTCACAGTGTTCGCCTTCTTTTGTCAATAAATCTCGAGAACCTTGGCAATTAACTCCCTTGTACCAGTTTAAACCAAAGTAAATTGTTGAAGCGCGCATTGATTTCGGAAAAGGGACAACCGATGCTATATCCACAGCCCTTCCTCTCATTTCTATTCTGCACACGAATCGGTAGTTTTCTTTCGCGAGGTGTCAGGCTCAGTATAACTCAACTATTGAGTCACCACTGAGCGGAACAAAATGACATGTGTTCCCTTTAACTGTAATACCACCAATGAACACTGGGTGGCGCTTTTACCACAGAGCATTTCATTGATCACTTCCACTTCACCTTCACTTCATTTGAAGGCTCAGAAAGACAACTTCCCCTCTTAATCATGAGTCTTTACTGTGTATGAGAAAATTTCAATTTCATTTATATAAATCATTGTAGATCCTTATTATTGTTAGATTACGATGTTGTAGCGCACCCCTACAAAGCAAAGTGGCACGGTCCATATTGACTCACAGCGAGGCTGTGGGAATTACATTTCATGCCCGCATTGATTGCCTATTTTCCTTGCGTGTCTCCGTCGGCTCCTCAAGTTTTACCCGCTAGATTTGATTTCCAGCGATGCCCTTTCCCTCCAGGTTACGGCGATGGATCGAACAGAGGACTAGGCAGCTGTACTGATCCGTTCTCTCGGCGATCGGCGGCCCAGACATGGCAGGAGAGGCGGCGGTGGACGGCTGGCTGCTTGTTTCTGGTGAGAGTTTGGCGTTTTTTTTCTGTGCGAGTTGTCAGTTCGGATTTTGTCAGCTGCAGGTCCGAGATGGCTAGCTGATATGTTCTCCATTTAAGGCGGCCCCCAACCGCCTGCCTTCATGTTGGAAGCCCCGGCACGTTGAACTGATTTAGTTCCACGTTAACTGGACCATTAGAGCTAAAATCTACCAAGATTTCTGGCGAGCCTGGCAGATTTGGGGAAAAGTGATCTCCCCGCCGTGTTGAAACAGGTTCTTCCTTTTCAAACGTACTTGAACCAAAGCAGGGACGTATTATTTGGCTTAACTGTTGTGCTTCACACAAAAGCCGTCTGGATATGCCTTTCTACTCTTGTTTACCTACACGATACTGTAACGTTACAGTCAGTGCAACCTCAGAAAAAGCTTTAGAGGGAATATCTGTGTGTTTACAGATTGTGATTGAAACTGACTGAAAATGGGAGGGGGGTTTGCCCTTCATAATTTTCCGCGATCCACGCTCCCCAGGGAGGTAAACTCACCACAAAATATTCATCAGGGAAAAAAAACGCCCTTTCTTCTTCGAATGAATCATAACCCGTGTATAAATTAACTTCGGGACTTTTCCACAAGAACACGAAACCCAGCGGAAGCGAACGCGAGTTTTCCTTACTTTAGAAACCGAACCTTTGGCCCATTTTGTCTCGTGTTTTGTTCATTTTCACGGTGCTCCATTTTGCATTCATTTGTCCCCATTATGTTGCCCGCCAGGCCAGTGGCAGTCTTTGTGCTGTCCAGGACAATAGCACACATAATTCATGATTTTGCCCTCCACCATTTTTTTTTTTTTTTGCTGCGGGACACCACCCCACACTTACACAGTAATCCAACA